CAAGCGACAGAAACCCAACACAGTGGGTCCAGAGGCTCAGCTGAGGTCACCAGGTCTCCTACCCCTGCTGCCCCCTCGGTACTGCATTCCTGCGTTGCCTTCATTCTCAGGCAGGGAGTTACTACAGACATTGGCTGAATCTGTAGCACATGGCAGACAACATCCAGCTCCATATCTTGCGGTGCCTCCACCAGAGAACTTCCCAGTTCCAGGTTGAAAAGTGCGTCAGGGGAGCTGTCTGGCCCAGTTCCAGATGAGGTTGCTGGATCACTCCACTGTGGCAAAGGGTCGGGTCTATGAGGCCATGGATGGGAGAACGGGAGTGACATGACGTGGCGTAGAGGAAAGACTACGGGCCCTGAGGCCAGATGGACTTGTGCTTGAATCCCAGCTACTTATAAGCTGTGTGGTCTTGGCTGGGTTTCTTTGCCTCTCTGAGCCCGTTTCTTGTCTTGATATAATGACACCTACACTTCAGAGTGTTGGTGCCAAGGTCAAGTGAGGTAACATACGTGAAAATGCCTGGCATAATAAATGCCAGAAAGAACACTGGAAATGCATATGAAGGAAACAGAAAGCCAGCAAAGCTTTGGTTTTCTTTGGGAATGGTAAAGCAACCCTGAGCAGAGGAAAGCAAGTAGTCCGCATGTGTAGAGATCACAAGCCAGAGTCACTCTTGTACTTGAGGCCACAGTTGGGGTCTCAGCACGAATAGTGGGTTCAAGAAGTGTGGGTTTGAGTCCAGACTAGACATGGCCAGAACCTGGGTCTCAGCTACATTGTCTGTAAGGCAGCATGATGGCTGAGAGTGAGCACCCCTTACATGGCACAGGTCGGAGTGGTTTCCCTCTGATGCTTCTGTCTCATCAGGAATGACACCCAGACCCCGTCCCGTAGGCCACAAGGCTCTACGTGCTCATCTTCACTCACTCCTCCCATCTCACTGCCACCTCCTCTCTCCTTTGTGCTCCGTGTTCCAGGCACGGAGGTCATCCTTCCGACAGATCACACTTCTGTCCTTGCCTCGGGGCCTTTGTCCTTGCTGCGCCTTCAGCTTGGAATGTACACGGTCCATATGTTCCGCCTGGCTGGCTCCTTCGGGTCATCCTGGTCTCCCCTCCAAAGCTGTCTCTTCAGAGACCTGCCTGGATCACTATATAAAGCTGCCTCTGCCTGCGCGTGTGTGTGCACGCACACACGCACACTCACACACATGTGCACATATTGTTCACAATCTCATTCCTGTTTTATTTTCTTCGTGGCACTTCCTCCTTCTCTGAAATGATCATTTATTCATTACATGTGACACAGACTCGCTGTGAGTGTGACAGCCACAAATCTAAACCTATCTCGGTAAGTTGTCTTGCACCAGCAACTCAGATATCGCCAGCGCTGCTGCCGCATGTGGTCAGCAACTCTTGGGAAAGCTCCCAACAAAGCAAACCTCAAGTGTCTCTTCATTCCACATAGTTCGTTCTTGGAAGATTGACAGTAAAACCTTGCGCAGAGCACGTATGTTTACTGTAAATGGGCTTTGATTTAGCATCAGGTGTTAATAAACAAGTTTCTCACCAACATAAACGTCCAGCAGGATTTGAATGCGGGGCTGAGCAGGGGCAGGGCTGTCCCAGAATGCACTGCAGGACATCTAGCACCCCTGCCTCTGCCCCTTAAATGCTGACCGGACCCCGAGATCATGGTCACCACAAAACCACTCTGACGCACTTCCAGAATACTCCCCAGCGGGCCATACTGCGCACTATGAGAACCACGTATCTCCAGAAGGGTGCAGTACTAGATACTTCAGAGTCTGTGCAAAAGAGATGAAACCACCTAAAAGGCTGTGCCGTGCGTCTGACTTGTAGTAAGTGCTCAGGAAATGGGAATTTGCTTCATCTCTCCTCCCCTCCGTTTGGCCCCAGGTTCTCAGTCTGAGCAACAGGGAACATCTGTCATCAACGCTGGTCACACGGAAGGAAGACATGGTATTTCAGGGAGTGAGGTGAGTAAATCAGGCAGCAAGAAACACACATCACCCCCACTCCCAGAAAGGCCGACAGAACAGCGTGACAGTTATGCACATAGCCAGTGGGACTATTACATTAAATACTGAAGAGCAGTTTGACTCAAGAGACTCGCACTTAAATTTAGGTGTAACTCTGTTCCTTCCCTGCTCTGGAGTAAACTTTAAGAGAACCCAAGGTCAGGTGAGGGAAGGATTTCTGGACAAGGACGGGCCGTACGAGGGCAGCTCCCCTCTGAATGCTGGGCTGCACGTGGCCCAGCTTCCTGCAACAACAGAGCGGGATGAAGGATGCCCAGACGACCCTGCACCCAGACTCTCACACCAGACCCTCTGCAGAGGCTGGTCGCTCTCTCACTTCTTGCCCTTTCTTGACCTGGCCATCTCTTGCTCATTTTAAAGTTCAGGATGTACTACCTCCTCCAGAAAAGCTTTGTGGGACCCCCCGGCAGAACTGATTGTCACTCCCTCCTCCTGTGTCCGCGCTTGGTTCCACTTCCGTCTACTGCGGTGTCTCCACGGGCACTCATGCGTGACCGACTCCCCATCCGGGTCTGCAAGAACTGCGTCTGGTCATCTTTATAACCCTGCCAACCAGCTCATGACCTGGCACACAGCAGGCACCCAACAAAGTCTTCTCCCTACCCTGCCCCCTCCTCCCCCCGCTTTGGATTCTGGAATAAACACACCACAGAGACAATATCACAGAGGTTCACAACACCACTATCCAGGCTACAGATGGAAGGTCTCATTTTTAAAAAGAAGAAAGTCTTGTGTTCCAAAGGACAGTTTATTTAAAACAAAGGTGGCAATGTGTGGGAAGTAGGGAGAACAATAATTCTAACATAAAAGCACACAAGAAGCACCTCAAATTAAAAAAAGGGGGTGCAGGGAGGAAGCTATGTCTCACACATATACAAACTGCTGACCTCGATTATTTACATCCAAACTTTATAAAATAGCATTTCAAGTCAGCACTTAAGCCAGTGTTATTAGTTTTTATTACAAAAAGTTAAAGCTACAAACTTCACATTTTTAAGCTGTACACATCAGCAACAGCATTTAAGCTTTTTCCAAGTTGGTTCGAGTGCAAGCTGGTGGAAGAGATTCTTTTTCCCCCAAACACAAAAAAGAACATGGAGTCTAAATACAATGAATACAATCCTGATGAAAACACACAGTGTGTAAGAAAGGATGGGGTGAGAGGCTGAGGAGTTGCAATCTTTAGAGGCAATGTGGTTTGCTAGAAAGGGCACTGGAATCAGAATCGGAAGACCTGCACTGGAATCTGGGCTCCGCCATATTTGAGCTGCATGACCTTGAGCAACAGACTTCACCTCTCTGAGCCTCAGTTTCCTTATCTGTAAAATGAGGACCATAACACCTTTAAGTTTTCATAGATATAGGGCTATTTAGATGATCTATGGAGTGAGCTTTGGTGTTTTGTATCTTTCAGGGAATTTGTCCATTTTGTTTAAGTGGATGAATTTATTAGCATAAAGTTGTTCATGACATTGTTCTTAGCCTTTTAATATCTGTAGGAGCTATAATGATGTCACTTCTCTCATTTCTGATACTGGTAAGAGCTACTGAAATTTAAATGGTATAATAAGTCTCTGGCATCTGGCAGGTGCTAAATAATTGTTTTCTGGGTCAGAATATACAGTCTCAGGGATTCAAGGTTATAGCTCTTAAGTTGCTTCAGAGTATTGGTCCTATCTATCTATCTATCTATCTACCTACCTACCTACCTACCTACCTAGCCAGCCAGCCAGCCAGCCCAACCTGCATTCATCCATCTATCCATCCATCCAGCTGGTGGCTGGGAGAAGGGACAAAGGAAAAATAGAAATTTGCTTCAAAATTACTGATGAGGAAGCAATCAAGATATCCTTAGAGAATTTGAGATTTTTTAAAGATACAGTTGGGTGTGGGTCATTGTTTCTTAAAAGGAGAGAAGAGGTGAAGGCCACAGAGTTCCCTGGGAGCTCGAGTCACAGATGCTGAAGCTCAGGGCTCAAGGAAAGCACGCTGACCTACCCTGAAGTGAGTGCTCACGGGGAAAATGAGGACCGGCCCTCTGCCTTTGCATCACTAGGAAACAAATCCACCGGGCCAGGACACGGACCTGGTCCAAAGAAACTGACTCCTGGCCAGAGGGTCTGTCCAGCTAGACTGGGGAACAGTGGTCTGTGCTGGGCCAGCATGGTGGGGTGCACACATGCCTGGAACAGAATACACTCCGGATCAAGATTCATGACCCAAGAATATTTATGGGGAAAAACTGAAATCTTCTTTTACTTGGATCTAGCTCAGGAAGGAAGAAATGGGCACTTCCCCTCCTGTCTGGCCAAGTACAAAGTCCTTTCTAAAATGGAAGAGGCTGAGGCAGGCCTGTTCGCGAGCACAGCAGATGGTGTGGGGGAATGCACCCTCCATGCTAGGTTGGTGAGACTCACCCGGCTGTCAGACTTGACTAACTCAGCCGTTTTCCAACCTAAAACTGCCAGTTGGAGTTATCTATTCTCTGCAAGAAAAGGTGGTCACTTCACTTTAAAGACTTGTGATTTTCCTTTTCCCTGTGAATACTGGTCCCACATGGTGATGCTATGAATCCTGATTCTGCCGCTTACTAGCCATGTTGCCTTGGGAGATACATTGCCTTTTTCTCTCTGAACTTACTCCTTCACCTATGAAGTGGAGATCAAGTACTTAACTTACGGGGTTATTGTGAAGTTCGGATCTATAAAAAGCCCACCTAGCTCAGTGCCTGGCATATATTAAGTGGTCAACGAATGCTAGCTGCCATTGATTCTTCTAGTGGGATCCCCCAAGTGTCATCTGTTCTCTGTATCTGCCGCCTAACTGGCCAAACCCTGCAGACCAACCATTGCCTCTTACATTTTTAAAAACTGGCTTTAATTGCAAAGAACAGAATCTGGCCAGAGAAGAGGAACATTCCCTGCCATTCCATCGATTTTCAGGTTTGGGAAGCAAAAGCAATTATGGAGTCAAATTACCCTATCTTTAGGTGCAGCTGAATCAGGACCCCCCCACCTAAGGGGAAGAGATGTTAAAAAATAAGCAGACATTTGCCTTTCCTCACTGTCTCCTCTTTGCTGTGCGACCACACGTCATGCTGCAGAGGGATGGCTCAGTGTTGTGGTTTGGGAAGCCCTCTGATCTGCCTGACGCCCGAGATCGCCTGCATGGCACTGTCCGTTGTCTGCCAGAGGCCGCAGAGTCGCAGACTGGCCGAGCCTGAGCCACCTGGCTCTCCGGGGGGGTCCCACCACGGTCATCCACGGAAGAGACCAAGCCCAAGCAAGCTTCCCTCGGTAGGGTCCTTGGGACAACCTGACCCAAATGGACACAGGTTTCTCCCCTCGGGGAAAGGAATGCTTGGATCAGTGGCCCAGGAGCGAGGAGCTCTGGTCTCGTCCCAGCCCCTACCTCAACTTGCTTTGTGAT